ATGCAGGTATTTGACTAAATTTTCGGTTGATGTGTGCGATTCATTGACTGTCTTTTCAATCCTATCCTCAAATATTATAAGCTCATCCATGGTAAACTCCATCTCCCTCATTACGTCAATCATTAAAATATGAAATAACTGCATGACAATAGAAAGTTTTTCACCGAACAGAAGACTCTCCTCCAAAAACACGCCCACCATAAGATAAATTCTCAACTTCCGCAAGACACTTTTTGTCTTATCATTTTCGAATACCGAAATCAAATGGTTAAAATGTCTAGCAACACCTTTGAGGTCAAGTTCTTCAATATAACAGATCATTATTTTCTCAATCTCGATAACACTATTAAAAATCATTTACTATTTGAATAATGGCATATATAAATTTATCGAAACCAATACCTAGTTGCATAGCATCCCTTTGAAAGGATTTGAGAAGCTTGTCTAACGTTTTTCACAGGTTCGATCTCAAGATGGTCGCCCTTTCTATTAGTTTTTGGTCAATTTTTTACCCTAAACTTCAATCCTCCATCATATTTTGTGAAGCATCATCTTCCAAACTAACAGATGTTGCATGTTTGGTAGTCAAATTGTAATTGCCGTTTTTTGTATTAGTAGCTGCAAGTAATGTCAATTCACTATTTTGTCATGTCAAAATTTAGATATCACAAGCTTGGTTTTAGATACACTACTAGATTCTAATATAGAGTGAACCCCCTCTGCAATTTCATATTATGCCTTCTTTGGTTCTGCTTTACCTTTAAGGGCATTCAAGATTAGTTTTTGTTAGCGCAGATCCGATATTTTTATAGAAAATGAATTCAACTTACAAGAAGTAAACAACGGGGCGGGGGGCCGCTAAGAAATTCCCCGCCCCGCCGCGCCCCGCCCCGCTAAGAAATTCTCCGCCCCGTCCCCGCCCCATCCCCGTTTAAGTCGGGGCGGGGGTATGTCCATTCCCCATTTATTCCCCCGTTTAATTTTTTTTTTTTAAGTTTTTGATAATTTATTTTTATTGCCCATATTCATTAGATTTGGACAAATAATTTTAGTTGCTATTTTCTATTAGAACTAATAAAAAATTTCATTTAAAGTATTG